ATATATTAACAATTATTCGCCTCAGGTTTGGTGAATATCGTCGAATAATCCCCGAGACGAAGTCGAGGGGATTATTCGACAATATTCACCGAACCTGAGGCGAATAATTGTTTTAGTATAATTTCAGAGGTGAACAACAGAGAAATTTCTAAAATTATAACATTTTAGTAACATTTAGTAACATTTTATTTTAACATTTTACATAAACCGCGTGGAGCGGTTTATATAGCGTGGTATAAGTAACCTCTCGATCAATCAGATTGCTGGAAACTCTTTGCTCAGCTTTGAAATTATACTAAAAAATGTTAAAATAAAATGTTAATAAATGTTACTAAAATGTTATGATTTTAGAAATTTTTCTGTTGTTCAGCTCTGAAATTATACTAAAACAATTATTCTCCTCAGGTTCGGTGAATATTGTCGAATAATCCCCTCGACTTCGTCTCGGGGATTATTCCACGATATTCACCGAACCTGAGGCGAATAATTGTTAAGTACGATTGTACCAAAAATGATTTCATATAGTAAATGTATAAACGTTAACATTGCGATAGCGCTTGTGAATTCTATATTCGCGGCTAAAGTCAAGGGCCAAGGAACAGAAATTCCGTGATCTCGTCTGATAACATCAATTACAAAAGAAACATAGATAAATCTGGCAACTACACACTGTATACACAAAGGAAAACTGATGGTGCACAAGTCGACTCAAAAAGCACACGCATAACCTATGCCAGACAGGTAACTCAACAGTCGAGGATCGTAAACGCGATATTTTCAATAAGAATTAAAGTCCAGTGTTTACGTGGCAGTTTTGCTTTCGCATGACTAAAAAATTAAAGAAACGCCGCGGCCCAGCGCAAAAATGTTGATGTAGGAGAAGTCAGTCGAAAAACCGATTAAAATAATTATTACGATCGAGTAAAAGCTCCTTTAACTAGTAGTGTTTATAATTACAACCACCTACCACCCCTCCCTGAGTAATAACACTCTGCCCCCACCTCTCCCTCAGTACTTGTAGACTGCACCCACCCCTCCCTGAGTACTAAGGGTGGGCCTCCCCCCTCATACAATGGTCCAAAAAAATGGTCCACAAAATGGTCCAAAAAATAGTCCAAAAAATGGTCCAAAAAATAGTCTAGTCTAGTCCATATTTTACCCTATGCCGCATTTCAGAGGTATAATTACACCTATGACTTCCGCCGGCTCGAATTCTAATATTATTGCGTTACTTCCGATTTCCTCCAAATTTGGTGTGTATGACGTTGAAATATTAAACAAATCACGTACCGAGTTTGGTGTTAGACATTTGAATGTAACGTACACAACACTCATTTCAAATTTCTCCCGTGAAGAAGGCATTTGGGACCTCAGGCGGTGTGCAGGCTATGTTCGCGGATCATCTTTCTCTTGTGGAACACCTGGTTCTCATAAATATCTGGGATGCGGAAGGTTTTCTCTTTTGCATATGCATATAAATCTTCTGCACAATCCGTTCTGATGTCGCTGGACATCCTCTTTCTGTTCGTTGTTATACAAATTGTGCTATTAATATGATTAGCTACATGCAGTCTCAGACTGCATATTTTTTTTAAATAATAGTAAGAGTCTATGACCCAAAATGAGTGGTTTAGAGATTCATCATTGAACTAGCTTTTGATGAAGTAATAACTGTTTTGATTGATTTTGGAAATTTATTTTTTGACCTAGTTTTATTTAGGCACTCAGTGGTTGAGATTTGCGATGAAATTCCAGTGGAAAGACCAATAGGGCGCGAGTCGACCCCAACTGAACAATACAGTCAATTGACTTACCGCAGACCTGTTAACAATAGCGGTAAGTTAGTAAAGAATAACCGTTACTCAATTATTTCGGTTGGTCTCCATTCAAGACATTTTGTTTTCATGATGTGATTACACAAAAACACCTGTGATTGGGGGCGGGATTTCTCTTTTTAGCAGGAACACATGTCCTTGCTATTGTGATGAATTCTAGAAAGGAGAAATCAGTCACTGAGATGAGTACTGATCACTCATGAAACATGTGATCACTCAAGAATCATGTGATCACTCACAGAGACCTATGGCTATCATTGTGATCACGTCAGTTAGCTACAACTCCTCAAGAACTATTTTGAGCTAGTGGGAAAAGCACAACTGAAAATCCTATCGCTGAATGCCATAGATATGGTGAAAAAAAAAAACATTCTGGATGGCCGCGGTATACCACATTCGTACATGCTGAAAACATTCCCCAGAAAGAGTCACTGAATCGTTTTTATAATTAAAAATTGGTTCATGGTTTAGCGTGCACTATCGAGTTATGGAGCACGCGGGAAGTTTGGAGAGCACGAAAGAAACTCTAGCTTCTTTCGTACTCTCCAAACTTCCCACGTGTTCCATAATTCGATAGTGCACAGCTGAAAGCATGAACCAATTTTTTTAGAACATAGCCGGTGGAATTTTGCATCAAATCCAACGCGAAAAACGGACAACAATATCAGTTGAAGCGAATCGTGACGGCGCTGATGCCGAGTCTCCTTTTCCTTTGTTTTTCTCTTTTTCAGCCTCATTTAAGAACTCTAGCCCAAGGGAAAAGGTCGAAACATTGTCTTCGTTTTCGGACTAGTAGGCCGAGTTTCTGTTTGTATCCATTATTGTCGCGAAATATATTATTTTCCCCGCGCTAACAATGGCCGCTCGTGCGAAAAAAAAAATTCTGGCGAAGTCGGATTTGCTGACGCTGTCAGCGTGCACTATCGGGATTTTGAGCACGCTTTCGTATAATAAATTTGATTGCGCGACTCTGCTAAGCTATTTTTTCATTCCCACTCCAGGAAAAAGTGATGATGGGACCATGCGCAACACTTCTGAAGATAGCTATGGTTACTGTCATGTTTATCAAAGTGTGGACAAGAACACATCAGTTACAGCTGCACCAGATTACCAAAATATACCCACAGCAGTTATAGAACCAGATTACCAAAATGTGCAAACTCAGGAAGAAGGCACATCATCTACATCAGTGCACAGCTCTGGGTCTCAAACAGAATCAGGCTATGAGCCCCTGAAGGGGTCCGATAGACAAAATGTTTATGAGCCCCTTAACGGAAGAGGAAATTGAATTGTACTGATGACATGGGTCTTGAGATAGGGAAAAAAAAGCTATATTCGGTCCAAAGTTAATTTGAATCAAGTGCTGTTTGGGACCAAAGAGTTATCTATAAGAATACAACTCTGACTTTCAATTGTTTTAGAGTTTTGACGAAAACAATGTATCGAATAGTGATGGTTGAAAATTTTTTCTACATGTTTTTTGTTCTTCACTCTGACAAGATTTTTGTCAGTTATAGAAGTTCAATTATTTTACTATAACAGTAGTTTCAAATAGCATGAAGAATTCTTAAACTTTATTTCGAATTTTTACCAAATACATCTGCCAATAAGAACTATTTACTAATTTTATATATAATAATAATACTAATTTTAATAATAGTAATATAATAATACTAATTTTTGTTAAAATACTTTTTTATGCTACGAATTATAGATAAAAATATATTTTGTATTGCAGAATATAGGATTCGTAGTATAAGAGTTTCTCAAAGAATTTCTACGTTTGATGGATTAAAATACCTTCAGTCAACTTGCACCGATTGCTTTTAAGAAACGTGATTACATTTATCTGCAGTTGTCTTGCGCGCTTGTTATGTCCGATGATGCAAGGCGACACGAGGGTTCTTGGTTCTATAAAATGGAAATATTTTGCCGCAATGTATCGATGTTACGTCAAAGAACAAGCAGTTAAACAAGAAGTTAAAACAAGTAGCCAGGGTCGTTCCTCGACTATCGCCTCAAGAGACTAGTTGTGCTTAGCAACCTCCCACATGCATCTATAACTCATGGTCAAGTGTACACTGTGAGGTTTAGCTTTTGTTAGTTATTAACTCAGTTAATAAAACCAAATTAATGAGGACTAACTCAGAATGTTGATGGTGGTCTCAATCAAAAAAATTTCGTGATCACAACATGATCGCAGAACCTACCTGTGATTTGGGGCGGGATCTCTCTTTGTAAGTAGCTTTGTAAGCCTTTATTAGGAGAGATCAATCATCGATGTGAACACTCACAAAAGACGCGTTCACCCGTGTTCTGTTATCTGGCACTATTAATGTGAACAAGTGACTTGCTTGCAGACAATCGTTTTAACAGTTTCTAACTGATCATGACTTTTTACCTATTGTGGACTCTTCGCACACTCAGGGTTATCTTAATTTCAGATTATTTAATGGTTACTTACTTTCACTAGAAAAAACTAGACATGCAGACTGACTATCAGATGCAGTTACTTTACAACGAATCCCAAAGTCTAAAAGTCCTAACGAGTATATCTAACTACTTTCTTTTCAAGACAGATAGCCGTGTTATGTGTGACAATAAGTTGGCCTGCATGTTGAACTCTTATGTGTTGGTTGAAACCCTGGGCTGGTCAGTGTGTCATGTTCGAGGGAAAGATACTATAATGTCACAGATGATTATATCAAAGTTCTCCTGGAGTGTAATTATTCATTGAACACAGATCATTACACTGAAGTTCTCCCGGATTCAGAGATTAAAACTTAAAATTAGACAGAGAAGCTGATGTTCCTTCGTCAGGAATTTGTACTCAAACATTTTACAGGCGTGAACTACTGGTCATTTTAAAAAAGGTATTCATACCTTTTATGGCAGATCTAAATACTGATTATTGGCAACCAAAGTTTTGACGATAAAATATAGTGTAAATAGCACATGAGAATTTTTCTGAAAAATCCAGTGCTACGATTTGAAGGCACAGAAAACGGTCTAAAAAATAACCAAAACTGCAAAATTGAAAATCCCAATGCCGGCCCCATCATTTATGAAACATAGTCTGTTTGACCAAATCTTTAAAATAATTAAGTGATGGTTAAGTTACAGGCTTAATCAATTGGCAGAAAATTTCGATTTCCGAAGAGGCGAAACCCAGGGTGTATTCATCATACGAGTTTGGATATTTAAATGATCAATTGTGCGCGCAAAACATATTTTATAATTCAAAATTCGAACTTTGCATGTATACCATTCAACACAAAAAAACGTGCAGTGAGAATTGACTTTTAGCAAGAAATTTGAGTAAGTAAGCAAGTAAGCACTTAGCAATAGCTGCTACATTAGAAGGAAAAGTAGTAATGGTTAATAACAAGAATGGTTTCGAAAATCACGGTTTAGAAATTGAAACTGAAGGGGTGAAACCGAGCATAACACTGTCTAATGTGCTATACGTGCCCTACATATCTACAATCTGCACTAGAACTAAAAATGTTATTATTTTCTTTATTGAGTATAATTACTTCGATAAAAAATACTACTTCAAATTGCTTTGCCAATGCTTTTGGAATTATAAATAGAATTTATTTCTTTTCACCGGTGTAAATGGCTCTTTTACCTGGGGTAATAATAGTCTCCTTCGCAGCAGTGTTTAGGGTCGTCACGCAACGCTCCTCCTCCTGGTATTGCGCGTTTTTAGTGTCAAAATTCAAAACCTCGTGTCAGACTTGCTATTTTTCTATTCAAACTTCTTGTTTGACAATTCGGATACGCTATTTGTTTACTGAAACATCCATTGTTTCAATTCAAAGCAATATTTCTTCGATTCAGTCATGCTGTTTTTCTAGTCAAACGTGCAATCCTTCGTTTTAAAAATGATTTTCTACTATTCAAACATTCAGTGGTTTAATTCAAACATGCTATTGTGCATTTCAAATTTTCAATATCGCAATTCAAAATAGTCAGTTTCGCAAGTAAAAATGCTATCCTTGTATTCCAGGATGCAATTCTTTACCGCAAGCCTGCTACTCGTCAATTCAAATACACTATTCGCCAGTTCAAATAGGCTTTTCTTGTATGCAAAAATTGTAGATTTTTTACTGGGGCACAATCCTTTCGGCGAAAACAAGGAGAAGAAGACGAGCCATTCCAAGCTATGCGAACTCTGCCGATGTAAAGGCGCGAACTACCTCTTCAACGGCAGTTTTAGACCTGAAACCTTACACCTCTTACAAAGTAGCAATAAAGGCTTTCAACAGCGGAGGTAAAGGCCCAGCAACTTATGAAACATATTTTGACACACTGCAGGATGGTATGTTTAAACAATCTTGCAGTAGCTTAATTTGTTTACATTGCATATGCGCGCCTGCACAGTTAACATATATCTGCGCGCCTGCCCAGTTAACATATATCTGAGTGGTACTGTTGGAATTTGGAATGAGGAAACAGAACAAGGGAATTTATTTAATTTTAGGTACCGTAAGATCATCGAATGAAAAGGTGAAGTCAAATTAGACTGAAGTCAACTAAGGCAAATGCAATGCAGCGGTTTTACAAATGAGGGTTCTTGGAAGGCCTAGAGAGGCATTGAAATTGCTTCCTTTGTTCCCCGCTTCCAATCGCATTTGAGCAGGTATTCAATCCGTGCCTTCATTGTAAGCGTTAGAATGTCGGCCTGCTCGCGGGATAGGTGCACCCCTTTTGCTTTGTTTTTACTGCACCCACTTCTAATACTAAAAACTCACTATTTCTTTTACTTATGTTGCAACTTGGCGTGTGTTTAATTTTTAGTTCCTGGACCTCCGTCAGATGTGAAAGTGTACCCATTTGCGTTGTACATCCTGGTCACGTGGAAACCGCCTGTAGAACCCAATGGAATCATTAAAAATTACCAAGCGGGATCTGCTAAATTCAAGGGTTCAGAGCCTAAAGACACTCCAGTAGAGATGACCGAGCTAGAAACGTCGAAGAGGAGGTACCTTATTGGCAAGGAAGTAAAGCAAGAAGAGCTGACAAACTATGTTGTAGAAATACAAGCCAAGACCGAACCGGGTTACGGTGCAAGTGTGAGAATACCCACTAAAACAGTCAAAGTTTCTGGTAAGTCACGACAAATTTGGAAAATTATTTCGATTACAGCGGACACTCTCGGGAATTGGAAAAAGTGTCCGTCAGAAGAA